TCCGCACTCACCAGCTGCAGAAGCAGTGATCAGGGCCTCTGGGCACTGGTGGTAGAGCCTCTCCGTGCAGCGCAGGGCAACAAGGATCGCCACTCCTCCCAGCACCCACACGGCAGCTGCCCCATGGTATCGGTGCAGTGCGGATCAGCAGGGTGCTGCACGCTGTCTGGGAGCTGGGGCCACTGAGGCTGAGCGCTGCCAGGCTCCAGGTGACATGTGGAGCTGCTCCAACTCCCAGGTGAATTGAACCAGGGGCTGGAGAATCAAACCGGTTCAATTCCCCAGCCCCAGTTCAATTCACCTGGGAACTGGGCCCAGCTTCATGTGTCAGCCGGAGCCCAGAGGAGGTCATCTAGTCCAACCTCCTGCTAAAAGCAGGACCAGCCCCAACTAAATCATCCCAGCCAAAGCTTTGTCTAGGCAGGTTTTGAAAACCCCCAAGGATGGAGGTTCAACCACCTCTCTGGGTAACCTGTTCCAGTGTTTTATTACCCTCCTAGCGAGAAAATTCTTCCAAATATCTAACCTAAACTTCCCTTGCTGCAACTTGAGATGGTTGCTGTTTGTTCTGTCATCTGCCGCCACTGAGAATAGCCTAGCTCCATCCTCTTTCAAACCCCGCTTCAAGCAGTTGAAGACTGCTGTTAAGTCTCCTCTTCTCTAGACTAAATAAATCCAGTTCCCTCAGCCTCTTCTCATAAGTCATGTCCCCCAGCTACCTCACCATTTTTGTCACCCTCTGCTGGACTCCCTCCAAGTTGTCCACATCCTGTTTGTAGTGGGGGGGCCTAAAACTGAACCCAATACTCCAGATGTGGCCTCACCAGTGCTGAATAGAGGGGAAAAATCACTTCCCTTGACCTACTGGCAACACACCTAACCAATGCAGCCCAGTATGCCGTTAGCCTTTTTGGCAACAAGGGCACGCTGCTGGCTCATATTCAGCTGACGGTCCACTGTAACCCCCACGTCCTTTTCTGCAAAGCTGCTGCCCAGCCAGTCAGTCCCCAACCTGTACTGGTGCATGGGACTGATCTGTCTTAAGTGCAGGACTTTGCATTTGTCCTTGTTGAACATTGCTTCTCTGTGAGCAATCGATCTGCTCTGGAATTTCTACAACTGGGGTGCAGAAAAGAGTGCCCAGCAAGCAACAGGGAAGTAGGGTCTCCCTCCACACCTTTCAGACAAATATAAAGGAGGAGCTACCCACTGCCACTTCTTCCAGAATTGAAGCCCTGGAAGTTTCTGGCAGTTTGGAGGCTTCCTGGCTTATAGTTTGCTTTCTGGGAAGTCTCAGGCAGAGAGCCCCTCCTCCTCTTGAGGACTAGCATGAGGCTTACTCTAGTCCCAGGAGGCTACGCTAGCAGTTTGTGACTGTGGGAAAAGGTAAAGGACATGGGCAACTGGTGCCACCTTAGTCAGGGGGGACACATACTGCCCCCATCCCCAGCAACCAGTCAGCTGGGGGGGGGGGGGGGGG